CCCCAAACCCTCCATTGTTAAAGCTCTATACCAAAAATAAAGCGCTTCTCAGTTCTTCACTCGCATTACTCTCTGTCACCATGGTCAATTGCTATGCTCTCTCCTCCTTTTTCCCCTTTTCTTCATATATAATCATTATCTTATAATATGCCATTCTAAAGATAAATTCTATAATATACATTCTTTTTTTTGTGTTACAACTGATTATGATGTTGATTATTTCTATTGTGATTGTTATTGTGATTACGATTAAAAAAAAAGTCTTTCTGTTTGATTATGACCCATTATTTTTTTTTAGTTACGATTAAAAAGATGTAGTTGTGGCATTTGTGATTTTGTGTATACTAATATGACCCATTCTAAGGGAAAATAGACCCCAAAATTTGTGACCCCACAATCCCCAATTGATTTGTAACACTCATTATGTTTTTTTTTTCCTCTCTCCTCCCTCTCTCTCTCACAAATGCGTAGGGGTGTGGGGTCCTAGGGGTCTGTAGCGGGGCCGCATTCTAAGGTCTTGTTTGGAAAGTTAGCTATTTGGTTATTTTAGCATGGTTAAAAACTTGTGTTTGAGAAGTTAATTGGGTTTTTTTTTTTTCAGTTGCTTTGATGGTTGTGAGAAAAAAGTAAAATTATTATGGGTTAGATGTCTTATTAGTTATTTTAGTCTATTTTGTATTTTAATGGGCTATTTTAGCCCAACCAACTTCCCAAACAAGGCCTAAACACTATCCTTTGAGTGATGCTTTTGTGTTTCCTCTATATCTCCATTGACATGTCTATTGATTGGGATTATAGGGTTTTATGTGCATTTATTACCAAAGTCTGATTCTTTTAAAACAAAATTTTCAAAACCAATTAATTTTAAACTTAAGCTCTGAAAATATTTTTCATGTAAATTGATTTTGCACAAAAGGAAAAAAAAATTCTTTTTATTTTCCAGTTATTTGGTTGACACTTCAAATAACCACTTTCTGTTGTATGCATTGGGTAGAAGTTAACAAAGAGTCTTCCTTTGAGTTATGAAAATATCAATGTATTGAAAGCATAGTTGTTAAATCGTTTTGAATCGTGAATCGAAATGAGATTGTACCGAATCGTGAATCGTAAAGATTCGGTCACCTTTTTTAAATTACATAGAATAATATATCTATACACTTAATATTAAATATATCTAATAAATACGAAATACTTAAACTTAAATCAATGAAAAATATTGTTTTAAATGATGATCATGTGGTTTAAATAAGAAATGATGATCATGTGGTCTAAATAAGAAGTCAACACGGGTTCCCATATGTACCACTTCACATTTTTCCTTTTAGATACTATTTCTTATTAACCATTCTTAATAAGGAAAGCAAACAAAGATAAATTTTCAATTTTCAAGTAACAATAACTCAACAACAATATTTTTTTTTTAACTTTTTACAAGGTTGAAAAACCAAAATCTTTAATTTTTTTTCAAAAATCTCACTTGATGACTTCAAAAAATTCATTTTATAAGTGCAAGTACTTAGATAAAATTGAATATGTAAGTTTAGAATATTGTAGAGAGAGAATTTATTTTTTTCTGCTAAGGTTTGAGTATTTGAGAGTAAATAGCAAGGTTGTGTGGCTGATTCGATTGTGTGAACCCTTTCCAACAATAAAAAAGCAAAAAAAGAAAGCCAAACATCGATTTTAGCAATTCACGATTCACTGATTCGGTTCATCAATTCACTAATTCAGTTCACCAATTCACCTACGATTCATAGCTATTTGCGATTCACACAACCTGTTCGTATTGATTACCTATTGAATCGAATCGAATCGTACGGTTCGAATTGCGAATCGTACGATTCTAATAACAAAGATTGAAAGAGCTAAGCTGGAAGTGAACTTTTTAAGAAAATTGACTCTGTGAAATTTTTAATGGTAAGTCATTTTGGGGATTATGATGAAAAATACTTTTTCTCAATAAATATGTTACTTTTTATTCAACCAAACAATGAAAAATGTATAAAATATTTTTGAGAAAATATTTTAAGTCGAAACAAACGGAGCCTAGATAAACTTGTTTTTTAGATGTGTTGTGTTGTGTATGGTTAGGTGGTTGGTTTATGTTGTGTTTGGTTTGATTTTTCCAAAAACCTTTTTTAGATGAGTTCTTGTTTATATTTAGTGATTTTTTTTATAAATATTTTAATAAAATTTCTTTTACTTTTTAGATGCAACTAATTGAGATGCATCTAAGAAGTAATAACAAATTGACTAAAATATTAAAAAAATACTAAAGAAAAAAAAATTCGAACAAATATTTGTATGCATTTTTGTTCGAGTTTTTGTTTGTTTTTAGTATTTTTTTTTTTTCATATTGTAGTTAAAAAATTTTACTTTTTAGATACATCTAATCTTGATGTATCTAAAAAGTAAAAAAAAATGGCTAAAATATGAAGAAAAAAAATTAGTAAAGACAAAACGAAAACCTATCTAAAAATAATTTATGAAAACTGTAACCAAATGTTTTATAAAGTTGTCATGACTTCAATAATTTTAAAGCCGTGAGTCTTCAACTTTAAAGTAAACATGACTTCAAGAAACAATATGAATTTGAGAATTAAGTTTAAAACTACTTGAATTTGAGATTTTAAAAAAATAAATAAAATTACATGCTTTTGGTGAAAAAACTTCTGAACTCAACTAGGTAGGGCTTTATGAAATTTTTACCAATGTGTGTGTGTGTTCTGTTATATAAGTTGTCAGCAATGTTTCAGGTTGTTTTTCGTGGCAATTTTTTGTTCTTAGTTTCTTATTTTTATGAGAGCAAATTATGCGCTGTCATAAAAAATATATATATGGGATTATTATGCATAAGTTAACAAATGTTAATTCTGTTAAATGAAAAATTTGCTTCTACCGCCTATATAAAAAAAGTTATTTACTGATCAGTCAAAAGCACAAGGAACAAGTCATATTTGCCTATATATGTCTCTTCTTATTGCCACCAAATCTGTCCTATCACCACCTATTCAAACACCCATCACCATGGCTGCCTTCTCTAATTCAATTATCACAACCGCTGGATTAGTGTTATCAAATTCAACATAAAAGCAAACCTCTGAAACATGGACACCTCTTCGTAGGTGACGTACAGGTGTCGGACATGTTGGGACACGCTAAAGACACGCTAAAATTTTTGAATTTTTTACTAAAATAGCATACCTAAATAAAGTTGATAAATTTGATAAAATTAAATATTTGACATAAAATAAATAAATATTTAAAAACATGACATATAAATTATAATAAATATATAAAATTATATGTTTTACACATGTCCCCAATGTGTGTTGTCTTGCATTTTTTAAAAATTTGCTTGTCTGTGTCCGTGTCGGTGCTTCTTAGAAGAAGCAAACTCAATCGGTTGCTCCAAAATATGTGGCCATTGCTGATAAGGAATCAACATGCCAAAATTTAACTAATGCTCTCTTTCACCCTAATTCATATTAATTTCCTCTGATACAAAGAAGTACGAGCACTTCTAAAAATGTGGCGTGTACATGTTGTGTCGTGTTAGACACTGACACTTGTCAAAAAGTGTCTTATTTTAAGGAAAAAAAAAAAGACCCGGACACTTGGAGAACACATGTGTCTATTGATTAAACGTGTGAAACTAATTATAAGTTTAAACTAAATAACTTAGGATACAATAATAGAAAAAAAACAATGTAAATTTATAAAATTAAGTGTTATATTGTTTTTTTTTTATTTTCTTAATGATATATTAATATATATGACATGTAATTAATATATAAAATTATATATTTTGTATGTGTTCTCCACGTGCCGTGTCTTGCATTTTTTGAAAATCGGTGTGTTGTATCTATGTCTATGCTTATATATATAGATCTACGTGGTTACATTTTGTGTGTTTGTATATGATGAAAACCAAGGTGTTAGAAGTAGTGCGAAGGAGGGGGCACGTTTGTGGGCAAGAATGAATGATGGGTAAAAATGACTTTATGTCTATGTTTTTGACTTACTAATAATTACTTATGAATAAATATTTTCATTAAACGCACTTATTTGTAATAAATTTGTTATTTATTGTTGTAAATGTAATAATCTCTTTATTTATTTATGATTAATCTTTGTATGAGAACCCTGGTTGTTTTTTATTTGAATTACATTATTTTATGTTGTTTATGAAATCACTTCAGGAGTAAATTTGAAAGCTGTTACGGAGACTTTGAATGCCTTACCATATTTGTGGCTAAATGGTTAGCCCATTTTTATAATTTCTAGGTTGCTAGTTTCCTTCTTTGTACCTTTTTTCCAGGGCCAACCTTGGCCTAAGGCCAGTAAGGCCTTTGCCTTAGGCCCCAAAATTTTGGCCCAAAAATAGGGCCTCCAAATTTAGTAAAATGTTATAGGCCTAATGTTTTTTTTTTTTTTTGAGGATCAATTTAAAGGGCTCCAAAATTTTTTATTGGGTCCATGTATGGTTTAGCCCATATTTATTTATAAGTGTAGTTTGGCCCATATTTATTAAAATGCAAATATATATTTAAAAAAAAAGTGTTTGGGCCCAAGAAGAACAATACATACAATATATGGGCCCTAATTTTTTTTTTTTACCTTCTTTATCTATTAGATTTTAGTGGAATAAATAATTTTGCCCTAATTTTTTTACCTAGGTCTTTATCAGTTTTAATTGAATAATTTTTTCCTAATTTTTATGTCTTGATTTTGTTTCATTAAATTGTTTTGTTAATAATTTTAATGATTATATGTGCAAGTAAATTTTTTTGTAGCTACAAATAAATAGAAAAGTTATAACTTATCGTTTTATCTATGAACTTTTTTTTTTCAATGTAAGAAGGGCTCCATTTTTGAAATTCGTCTTAGAACCCCTAAATCTCATGGCCGGCCCTACTTTTTCACTCCCCTTTTTTTTCTTCTAAAACTTCTAATTGATTTTGTTTTTTTTCTTTGTATATATAAGTTTACAGCAGAGGGAATTTCATCATAGGAGAAGAGATGGATTGCCCTATACCAGCATGTGCAAAGTGCACGTTGAATTGCTTATTGATTCATGGGAAGAATAAGGACCCATCGATTGTTGCTACCTCTTTTTTCAAAATCATGATTGGTGATAATTTTTCAAAAGTTCTGGTATAGTTACATTTCTACAATTCCTTGTTAGTTATTTTAAAATATTGTTTCTCTAACACTATTGGTCCTCCATCGTATGTGATTGGAAAAATCATAAGTTTCATACTTCTCTATAGTACCCTACGCTAGGGGCCTTTGGAGTCGGTTCAAGAAGTTTAGAGTTTGGTCCCAACACCAACACACCCCCATTCCCAAAATGTATGGTAACTACATACTTCATAATCTAAAAAAATAGCACCATGTTTCCAAGGATCTGATTAGGATGGGTGGTCTTTTGGGGTTTGGAAGTGTCGAGAATTGATGCTGCAATTTTATTTGTAAAATGTTTGAAGGTTATGTTTTGAGATTCGGTTTCTCTCAGAAATCTTCCCCTATGAGGAAGAAAATCCATATGATAGGAAGTGCCATATGACACTCCAAACAGCAGCAGTATACAGTGGTCACTCTTCCCTATTGGCCAATTGTGGACCATCTGATTCCCCCACAATCTTGAGGGTCATTGGTCAGGATCATGTGTTTCATTGTTCCGCTATCATTGTGATTTGAAACGGATCTATGATGGTAAAAAAAGTCTCTAAAAAAAAGAAGATAGAAATACTGCTTTTGTTTCATTGCTCTGTTTGCATTTATGTCCCATAGCATAAATTATTTGATTTAGTTATTGTTTAATCTTATTTTTCCTTCTGTTGATTTTAAGATTGTTTCCTAGCGCCGAGTGAAGTAAAGGGTTGTGGTTTGCTATATTGTGGATGGTATAATGATGGATCTTCCTATTCTGGTTGTCATTTTTTTTTTTTTTTTTTGTTGTCCTTTCATTATGATTATCTACTTATCCTTGTTAATAGTGGACAACATGACATTGCAGAAATATTTGCACCTGAAACATTAAAAACAATAGAAAATTTGGGGATTCAATTAATCTATAACGAAGGGGAAAAAAATAGAAAAAAAGGAAAAAAAAAAAAGAGTAGAAATTGCAATCTGCAAAAATTTTATTACAGGAAGTGTTAGCTGAGTTAATTTGGAGTTTCTCTGAATTAATCATTAATTTTTCTTGGTCTCGTGGTATATTTTTCTTGGTAGCAATATCATATCACGTATGCACGTGTGTTTGTTTTATTGCTCAGTTAATGTAGTTTATCTAAAAAGGGTTCTCAGTGTCAAAATCTCAAAGCATTTGTAGTCATTGTTTGCTTGTGTATGAATTGTATCATTCCAAGGTTGTATAAGAGCAACTCTAATTGAGCCAAAGCCATTTTTAGCTATACCCTCATAAACAAAGGGAATTATGAACACTAGATGCTTTTTGGGAAGTAGATCTAATTGTCACAAATTGATATGAGAGCTGGTTATGCCAAAATAACATGGGACCATTGGATTTGTATAGCTAAAAATGACCTTTTTTGTATTGTATGAAGCAAAAAAGTTACTTTGACAAAGCCATTTTAGTTTTCACCATTGGAGTTGCTATAACAAACTTTTTGTTGTAGTTAACTTTGTAATTATAGTATCTGTATTAAACTTTTGCAGATTTTCTTCTTAAACCATCCATCTTATGTTCTCTAAGCTGTTATTTCTTTGCAGTTCTTGCCTCCTAAATTTGCCCAAACAGTGTCAGACTTGATTGATCAAAAAACTCAGCTGGAGGATGAAAGTGGGCAGAGGTGGACGGTAACATTATCCAAATAAGATGGGTCCTTGGCTTTCCAACAAGGATGGCCTGCTTTTTCACTCGAACATGGTCTAGAAATTGGAGATTTTGTGTTATTCCGTTACATAGAGCAATCTCACTTTGTTGTTCAAATCTATGGAAAAAGTGGGTGTGGAAAACTCTGTTTTTCAAAGGAAAATAACAATCAGAAGAAACGAACAAAGGCTAACAGAGATTCCAGTGCCAAAGATGAACAATGCCACACAATTGATAATGTTTCTATAAATTCTATGATCAAAGAGGGTTCAAATACTTCTGCTGTATGTAGTTCTGAAATTGAAATAAGCCGAAGGCTGCCAATGGCAGCCACGTATACCACTTCAAACATTGATAACGTCAATGAAAGGCTTCATCATGTTCCCAGAACAAAATGCATCGAAGAACCATTTTATATGATTGATAGAGATTCTGGGGTAGGACAAGTGGACCACTTGAGCTCTTTATATGACTTAGCAGACTTTGAAATGTAGACGACATCCAGTGTTGATGGAACTAAAGAAGTTATGGTAGAAGATGTAAGGCCACTTTCCCATGTTAATACAATGCCACAATCTCAAGCTGAAGCCGAAATAGTGGATAAGTTACCTGTGACTGAAGAGGTAGTGAGCCAGACAACGCTTTCAGATGTACCTAACTTGCCAATTCTTGAGAAAAATAAGGAGTTTCAAATGATAGATAACGTGTCTAATCAAGATTCTGGCAGTTGACCTCTTCCAATTATCACTGGATATCATTTCACTCTTTTTTAATTTTAAACCATACATTTAGACTCAACTATTAAAAATTATACAAAAACCCCTTTTCTAGAGGGGTGGAAGTGAAACGATTTTGATAATTGAGAGATTTAAATGTACATTTTAAAATTAAGGGGGTTACAGTTGATTTTATTTGATTGTTGTGATGGGTAAAATGTAACTAACCCTTTGAAAAAGGATAATGGGCGATCAACATATAACAACTTTTTTTGAGTGGGATTATTATGCTTCTTATCTTTTTTGGAGTGTTGAATAAGAAAGCCCCAAATGAGCCTAGTGTCATGGCCTTGGTTATTTACAAAGTTTTACTCCTTAAAATATGTAAATCCTTAAGGCATTTTATTTGAGATATGAATTGGTTTTGTAATTGTATGACATGCGATAGATTCAGGTTTAGGGGTGAATATATAATACAGTTAGACAATCACAAGTTTGCAAGAAAGAGAAATAAAAAGACAAAAAGAGTTTGATAGAATACCTTTATATTCACCTTAAAAATCTTAGGCCTTTTCTAAAATATTCCAGAACATACAAAGGAGTTATGAACAAGCTTCTTATGGAAGCTTTCTTTATTCTACATGAAGGTTCTAGCATCCTTCCTAAAAATATCTATACAAATATCTATCTCATTCTAGAAGTATGTATAAAGGTCTTTTACCACCTTCATTTCCCTAGGAGGTTCTAGAAGCATCTATTGCTTCTATTCCTCGAATCTTCACTGAAATGCTCTAGAACTTATTCTAGATCCTTTCATGTACATTATAGAATTATGTACCATATTTTCACATTTTCTCAAGTCTTCCAAGGGCTTCTGGAATATTTCTTAGCCTCCTTTCCTTGAGATTTTCTCTTGGTAGGCAATTATGTCTAGGTAATCTGGAATATTTCTTACAATTTTTATATGCTTAAAATTTCGTAACATGTTTTTTTTTCCCCCTCTCACTATGGCCATTACTACTCAACATATATAGCAAATCTCATGATTTTCATACACAATAAACATTAATAGGGTAAGGTTCAAACTCTCAACTTAATTTTTTTAAAATTTTTAATTTTTTAATAATGAAAATATTAAGTGTCATTATGTGTTGCATTTTAATTAGCTCATAATTAAATTCATGAAGTTTTATATTAAACCCTTAAATTATGCTACCATAATTACCATTTCAAATTACTTCATTAATTTATTTACCATACCAAATTTATTTTCAAAATTGCTTCCCTAAGATTGCATTAATTCATGATTTTGATACATTCATACGTACACATATGAAAAATAATTAATTCTTTAACTTAAAATTTAGACATTATTGATTATTTAACATGGTCTGGGCTTCTTTCCAGTCCTCCATCGGACTAGAAAAGTGTTGTTGGGCCTTGTGCGCTCACTTTTGGGCAACATTTTAATAATCTGAACCATTTATATTTTAAGATTCGTCGAGTACATCATCCCTGTAAAAAATCAAATAGATAAAATAACGGCAATCATGTGTTTGTGTGCAAAAAATGAATGGTGAGAAAATAAATAGTTCATAAAAAATTGATTGAAACACATGATTTTCGTTATTTGATTGACTTGATTTTTTACAAGGATGATGTACTCAATGAACCCTAAAATGTAAATTCGAATCATCAAAACGGGGCCCAAAATTGGTCCATTGAATGTTTAATCCAATATTAGAACCCCCAAACTAGCTCATATCGATTACGAATCGATAAATTATGATATAATTTATACATAATATTTAAATTTATTATTATCAAATATTTTTACTAAGATTAATTTTTAAATATGACATTTATTGCAAATACAATTTTTGTAATTTATTATTTAATTTTTACCAATTAAAATTATGATATGTATTTTTATTAAGAATTTGGAACACACAATTAATGACATAAGAATGAATAAATAAATAAATAAAACTTCTCTTATGTGTAACTTTGATAAAAATGAATAAGATTTAATTGATTTTAAATCATTTTCACTATATACTTTAGATAAATTTTATATTATTATTTAATTTTAAAATTATTTTTGATTATTTATTTATAATTGTGCATAGCACTGTCAAGGCCACTTTACTAGCTCTTAACACAAAGTAAAAATAAAAGTAACTAAGATTTTAAAAAGAAAAGTGATTTTTTTTTAATTTAGTAGCTCTAGAATACAAAAATTGCTAAAATTTATAGGTTATTGACATAAAACAAAATTAAAACGAAACTAACTAAGATTTTAAAAAGAAAAGTGATAATATTTTTTTTTATTTAGTAGCTTCCAAAATACAAAAATTGTTGAAATTTATAGGGTGATCCCCTATATTTTTAATTTTTTTTAATTCAATAGCTTTAGAATACAAAATTGTTAAAAATTATTAGTAGTAGATACAAAATCGAGTTAAAATTTGTATAATAAGATATCATAAATGCTTATTTTTTAACTACACAAAATTTAAATTTTAAAAAATTATAATTGCCATTTAACTCTTATATATTTTTTAACTTATTACATCTCAGTTCTTATTTTTGAGTTTTTTTTTTATTTTATTTTTTTAAACAAACTAAAAAAATTATAGGTGACCTTTCACTTTTTATCTAATTTTTAAACTAGGGCCATCTTCTATTCTTCTATTATTAGAGTTATATTAGATTTTTTTTTCAAGTTTATCATATTTTATTTTTGAATTTTTAAATTTCGACTTTATTTCTTCTTCTTTTTTTCAATCTTCATTTGATATTTACTGAATTTCTCTCTACCTCATCTTTCTGGAATTTATTTAATTTTCTCTTTCTATATTCTTATAGTTCATCCTCAAATTCAAACTTGATTATTTATTTATTTTTTTATATCTTTATCGTATATTTACAGAATCTACTATCGCTTTGATTTTCAGTTGAATTTATTTTTTTCGAAGATTTATCTAATTTTCTCTTTCTATATTCATTTTCAAATTTAAATTTAATTTTTTTTATTTTTATCCTATATTTGTAGAATTTCACTATTACTCTTCCTTTTCAATTAAATTTATTTGATTGAGTGTATTTGAAAAAAATTAATTACTCCTGCATATTTATATAAATATAGTGAAATTACTCAAATTTATTATTTAAATACTCATCTAAATTAATATCATAGTATTTAATTAATTTTTAACATATTTCATATTATTTATCACATTTTGTTATTTGTCCATGCATAGCACGGATTTTTCGTTAGTTTATATGATGCGAAAGAGGTGAAGGGAAGAAATATGAGAATTGAGGAACCAATGTCACCTTGCGATAGTCTTCGCAATTTGTGAGTAAAGAAAAAATAAAAAAAAATTTGTGTTCTGTTACTTATGACAGCAATAAAATTTATAATTATTCTCTTATACAATAATACAATTATTCAAATTATTAATTAAAATATATTTATAATATCATTAAAAATTATGAATTAACTTAATAATTTGTTAATAAAAGAATTATTCGAATTTTAAACAAATCCTAAGAATTGTATTTGTAATTCATCTACTATTATTTTTGTTTTTTTGACAAGGTGCCTGTTTGGCATAGCTTATAAGTTACTTATTTTAACTTTTAACTTAATTTAAGTTATAAATATGTGTTTGGTGTAACTTAAATCATAAAATTATAGCTTATTCGTAATCTATTTCCAGCTTTGGAGGGGAAGCAGCTTGGGGATGCTTATTCAAAGCTTATGCGCGTAGCTGGGTTGGGGGAACTGAAATGACTAAAATGCCCCTTCAAAACTTGAAAAATTACGGAATTACTATTCTATAAACCCTCTTTTGTTGCCCTAGCACGCTTCTCTCTCTCACGCCTAGGGTTGTGCACAATACCGCCAAAACCGCTCTGAACTGCTCCGAACTGCTTTAAATCGCGATTTTTTTCCAATTCTGGCAAGTGGGTGGGCGGGTTAAGATGCCAGGACTAACGGGTCGGCGCAGGTGGCGGTTTAAAAATACCAACCCACTTAAAAAGCCGACCCGCACCGCCACTTTGTTGAAACATTTTCCCCTGCCACTGTATATACATCCAAGTTACATTTCCAACCATTAGATTACATCTATCATACCAAATGTACATACACTCACACACACACAATAAATTCTCAATTAAACCTAATTCACATCTAAACATCTCATTTCATTCTTTG